AACAGAAGTGTCTCGCAGCGTTTAGCTTTCAAATGTTAACTTTTCTATGTTGCCCAGAAAAATGTAAGAGAGATTTATCCCCTGGCTGCTGTCAGACATCACAGAAACTCAGCACAAAAGGAGCCGGGCTCGCTGGAGGAACGCACCATTTTTAGCGACATCTTTTCTGAATCCTCCTAATCTCCTGCACCATCCTTTTGTCTTATCCCGTCAAAGAGTGACAAAGCCCTTTCATAAGGCTTTGTTTTACATGTTTTACAGATGCGCGTAGTTCAGCAACGCATTTTTCCTCGTTCATACGGAGCGCTGTCGTTGCGGTTAATTGTATATGTTACAGGAACAGCTCCGGGCCCTGCTGGGGTGAGCGATGGGTTGGGGAAGGGTTGGCAGGAGCCTTCGCTTTCCTCTTGCCCAGGGCAGCGCAGCCCCTCACCGGCTCTTCTGGGGACGGTCCTGGCCAGCGGCGTGGTCCGGGGAGATGCTGCGGTGCGAGGGGGGTGTGCGCATGCGCTGTCCTTCACGGTGAAATGGTAAATGTGTTTGGTAAAGCTCTTCCTCAAAGCCATGTTTTGGGTTTTTTTTTGCGTGGCTCGTTCACATGGTCTGCTCTGGTTTGAGACTCATGGGAGCTCCCTCCTTCTCTGACTCTGCCCCAACATTTTGTCAGTCTCGTGTTTTGAAAATAGCGGCGCCAGAGCGTGGTGCTGTACCGTTTCGGGTGGCTGTGACAGGGTCAGGCAGTCCCTGGGCTCTCGCTGGCAGCTGGGCATCCAGCTTCTTCTGGCAGCTGCGAAAACATTCAAAATGAATTTCTGCCTTCCCTCCTCCTTGAACAAAAAAAAAAAAAAAAAAAGAAGGATTAGAGCTTGCTATAAGGGTTTTCTGTTACACCATTAAACGGTGCGCAGCACGCCTGCAAACAGCCCTTCAGGCTATGGTCCTCCGTCTTCCCATCCATCTTGTGTCTGTCAGGTCCCTGCTAACTTAAAGGATGTTTCTGTGCAGGAGGAACGGAGACCCATCACAGATGCGACAACACATTGCGATCTCTCCTGGATCATGGATATTTTAATACTTTTTTTTTTTCTCCTTGTGATGGGGCCTCGAGTTCCCGCGCTGTCCTGTGCCGAGCAGTGCAGGGTTAGGGCACTGCCCGCGCTCCCGGGCAGAGCCCATCGTCCTCGGTGTGTCCTCCCCCGGCCATCACAACTGGCAGATAATTATCTGGAGGATGCTCTGCAGCTTCAGGCCAGGCACGAGACGGGATTTTGGAGGTGTTACCCGTTCTCCGTGCTCTGTTCCTAGGATACTTCCAAGTGGGGTCAAAACTATCTGCCATCCTCCTGTTTAACAGCACAGAGGGGGGTCTCTGTCGTGTCCCCATAACTTCTGTGGCTGTAAAGCTGCAGTCCCATGTAAAATCCCACCGCGGGGAACGGTTTGTTGCCACGAGTGGCACGAATCACTCGGTGGGTGATGGAAGTTGCTGCATCCCATCCCGGTTCCCCTTGGGTGGGGTAGCAGTGAAATCAGACCGGCTTTTGCAGACGTATTTTGGGGTGTGGGCTGTTCCCTGTTACCCAATCATAGAACCATGGAATGGTTTAGGTTGGAAGGGACCTTAATGATCATGTAGTTCCAACCCCCCTGCCCTGGGCAGGGACACCTCCCACTGGACCAGCGATATTTTGCTTTTATTTACAGCCCCCTCCCCAGTGTCTGCTGCCCGGGGTGGCCCCGTCCTGCCGGCGGGTGCCGTCCAGCCCCGGTTGTCACCCTGCAGACATCGCGACAGCAGCTCCTAAGGCGTAACGTGAAGCCCGAGGGCTGAGGGCGATTAGATGCAGGAGCTCCTGCCTCGGGGCTGGGGGGTACCCAACCTGGTGTGGAGCCCTCGCCCCCGGAGGGTGGGATCGCTCGGTGTTGGATCCCAGCCTGGCACGGGGTCCCCGCGGGCTGGTTAATCACTGCCCACTCCTCCTGCCAGCATCGCCCGGGCTGGTGATGTTTTTAATCATTAGGAAACGTATATGAAGTTGATGAATGATGTGATGGTGATATACATGACCTACATGGTCTTTCAAGTAAGTATATTTGTAAAATCTAGTAGAAACCCAGGCTGGCAGGAGGCTTTTGTTACTGGAAGTCTGTTTTCGTCCCAACACATCCTTCCATCAGTTCTTTTGTGAGAGCTAAAAATTGGCTGGCTTCAGCAGAGTTAATAATCATCTGAAATGGAGTTGAGCAATTGATGTTGATGCATCAAAATGTTTCCCTCTTCCCTTCCCCCTCCTTCCCCCCCACTTCCCCCAAAAAAGAAATTCCTGGCTGATACTCAAAACCCAGTTCAGTTCTCACTGTGCAAGTATTAAACTGTGGGTCTTTTCTTTCAAGTTTCTGGATTTTTATGGGCACAATCGGTCTGTTAACAGGACTTTTTTTTTTTTTTTTTTTGGTGTGGTTTCAATGCATTTATATCATTGACCTTTGCTTTAAAAAGTGTCTGACAGTGTCTACTGGACTGGAGCTATGAAAAGGAGCGTTGTAAGGGGGCTTTATTCTATGGAAGCAATGACCACAGGCAAAGCTTTATATTTGCTGAGTGATTTAATTCTTGCACATGCAGAAGTTGGCTCTGTGCCATGTGTAACATGTTGAGAAAAGGTCTGCTTGAGAGGCATTAAAACCAAACTTTCCAAAACTGTCTTTTCTTTTCTTTTTTTTCCCCCCTTTTTTTAAATAGCTTGCTTTCCTGTTATTTTTAAGCTAACGAGTAAAATGAAGGGACACTGCCCCAAAATGCTGCACTGAGCTGTAGCAGGGTCACTGGGGAAATAAAACCTCTTTTAAAGAAATGAAGCGGGAGTCTGGGTGGAAGGGTGCCGGCCGGGAGGAAGAGGAGGGTGTCGTTAAGATAAAGGCTTGACCGAGGGTCAGGAGAGCGTAAAACAGAGCACCCTGCACTCCAGGAGGAAGCCTGTGAGGGTGAAGATGCTACAGCTCTAACGCGTGGTCCTGTGAAGTCCTGCTCGCAGAGCACATCCCCAGAAGATGTGTTTAAGGCTAATTATCAGATCCCCCCCCCCCAAAATCAGTTGCTTTTCCCTACTTGGCTCTGCCCGTCCCCTGCCCGCTTACAGGAATATCTGTCTGGTAGCGGTCAGAAGCAAATAAAAACAAACTGCTTTTTGTTTGCTCTTATTTTAAACACTGTGACAACATTTGGATTAATGTTAGGTCTTGTGAAAAGCTCTTTAAAAGTCAAACACACCGAGCTGCTTAGCAGCATCCCCTTTGAATTCTGCATCCGCCTGCTGCAATTCCAGATAATGGTTTGGAGAGAGCAAAGAAACATCATATTTCTTTTTGCTTCTTGCAGTCCGTCCATTAAATATGCCTGAAGTTTCATATTCTGGAACTATTTAATTGTGTAGCCACTTGGGCTGAGTTCCGTATTTCGGTGTGCCTTTGAGCATTTCCTCTTCCTTTGGCAAACAAACGATCAACAGAAATACTAAATTATGGTAATTTCTAACAGAAGCGGCGTCTTCCCCTAAACATTGCAATCTACTGCATTTTAATTAAAAACACCCCATCAACAGTGCATCGAGCCATTTGGAGCCGCAGCCTCTATTAGTTTTCATCAGTGGGTTTTTTTCTAGGGGCTTTTAGAAGCAAATTGTGCGTTGCTCGCGCTTCCCCAGGAGGAGCGAGGGAGAACAATAGATGATCTTCGCGCAGGCACACCGAACCCTGAAATACTGAATTCAAAAAGGGTACGAATAGGGTGGAGGTTATTCAGGGGGAGAACTATGAGGAGGGAGTACCCCGCGGTGTGCAGGGGGGGCTCTGTGGACGGTACCCGCCTCGTCCGCTGCAGCTGCAAATAAATCCATCACCTGCAGGAGAGCGACTCAGGTTTATTTGCGTGGCTGTCCTGCCTTCCCCGGGGAGCACACAGGGGTTGTGCTTTCCTCGGAGATGCGGAGAGGCACCTCTGCGCTCTCTGGTCCTCGGCTCGGGCGTTAGCGGCTCCCGCGTGTGCAGATGAGCCACAGCCGGCATCGCCCTGCCGGGGCGCGATGGGAAAGAGCGTTTTATCCATTCCTGTGATTTTTCTGAGAGTTGAGCCTAAATACTGCTAGCATATAAAGTTGCTTATGAAAGCAATAGGTTTGCAGCCTCTACGTGGAGAGACTGGCTTGGAAAGCCAAAGGAATGAGGGTAACCCCTGCTTTTTATAGCCTCCTGGTATTTGCTCGTGCCAGCTAACACCAGCACCCTCTATTTTACCTGCAGAGCTCCACCCGCCGCGCCGTCGGCCTCGCCGCCCAAGTGAACAGGATTCTGCCTGGGGTTAGCTGTAGTGGAACCCGCTGGGGAAGGGAAAACCCTCTCTTGTCTTCCCCTGGCTCCTACTGGGTGCGAGAAGTCGACTGGGGAGAGGGGCTGTGCCTGGGTGGCGTGGGGATGCTGCGCGGAAGGGATCAATAGGCTCATGGAGGAGAAGCGGAGGCAGTGCAGGCGGCTGAGCGGGGAATTGTCCGCTCGCTCGAAAACCCGGGAGGTGCCGCTGAGCACCCACGCGGAGGGGAGATGATTATCCGTGTGGGTTCTCTTTTATCGTTCAGGCGTGGCGAGCACGGGTGTCCCAGCGTCCTGCAGGACCCGCTGCAGGTACTTGATGAAGCCGGGACCAGGGAGGGGCTGTCGCAGCATCTCCTGTGGGCTGATGCGCAGGGATGGCTCTGGGCTGAGGTTTTCCAGAATGGGTGATGATTTCTGGTGCCCAGCTGGAAATTGCTGTCAGGGCAACTGGTTTTGCAGAGGCTCAGCCTTTCTGGAACTCCCCATCACTTTTTGGAAATTGTCCCACTTCCAGCAGGCGTTTCTGTGCAGTTCCCCGCTCGGGAAAGGGAGTCCAAACCCCTGACCACAGGTTTGTGCTTTGGATGCCTCCCAGTACATCCAGATTTCACTGTTTGTTTTTCTCTGTGCAGCTCTGGGAAATGCCAGTGTAAAGTTGGTGTCACGGGCCTGAAGTGTGACCAGTGCAGTGATGGATACTACAGGTTTAACGAAACCACCTGCGAGCCGTGCCAGTGCAACAACCGCTCCAAAACCTGCAACAGCTCAACAGGTAACTCCTCTTGTGCCCACGGTGGGTGCAGACCTCACCTCTCTCTGGTTTTTGCCGTTTTCATTCAGCAGACCTCTGCTCTCATCCTCTTCATCTGCATCTTTATGCCTCGAATACCCAGAGTCTTTAGCTTAAAACCAAATTTAAAGTGCGGGGCAAGGTTGGAGCTAGTCCTCTTCTCAAGGAAGCCAATAAAGGCTGCGTTATTTACCCCAGGCTGCAGTGCAGAGCCTTTATTCTGCAGTCTCCATCGGAAATCAGTGCTCTATTGTTCTCTGCACTTACACAAACACGCAACACGGGCTTTTAAGGAGCTTTTGTTTAACTGCTGTTTACCTGGAAACATATACCGTACTGGCACTGACGTAAGGTGATTGTTATTGCCACAGATAACGTGATTAGTGCTGGAAAAAACTGGCAGCACCTAATTAATATTGCCCGCTTTATATAAATTTGCCTTGTTCATTTTCCTTGATCATTTCGTTGACCGTCTCTCTCTGGTACAGATGTTGATGGAGTGGAAATGTCGAAGCACCTGTGCTTGAATAGCTTATGGGAGGGCAGGGGGAAACCTGATTGCTTTCCCAGCTCCGCTGCAAGGAGAGATCCCGGAGGAGCGATGTTATGTGACTGCCTGCGCAATCCCCACTTTAGCAACAAAACTCACACTTCAAAATCCAAAAATTCTCATCACAACTTCCAGGCTGAAATGCGTTTCTGTAATATTTATCCAGGAGCTTAGAAAGGGGCGATGATTTAAAGAACGTTGCAAGGTTTTTGCTTAGCTGGCGGAGAGGCAGAGCTCATCAAATACGGTATTTCTGGGCAGTTTCCGCAGCGGTGTCCGTTCCCTTGTGGGCTGTGTGTTTGCAGCAGAGGAATGGGCGGCCGCAGTGCTGACTGTGTCCAGCCGCTGCCCTGATCCTGCTGGGATGAATTATTGCATTAATTCCAATACTGAACTTTATGTGCTTATGTCCTGCTAATATTGAAGGATATAAGACTGTACCCAACGCTGTGCGCACATCAGCTGTGTTACTGACTTGGAGCTGGGTGTGTGGGTTTTGTGAAGGAGTGAGATAATCTGCTCTTCCTTTTTCTCTCTCAACGTTTCCCCCGCTCTTGGTTTAAAAAAAACCAACAAAAGCAAACCCTGGGCAGACCTCGCCTCCGGGCTGGGGCTGTTCAGGCAGTGCTTCTCCGGGGCAGTCCAGCGCTGACCATGGCACTGCAAAGAAAGACCCTCTTTTTGGTTAATGACCTATTGTTGATTTGACAAAAATCCCTTTTTGAAAATTCTCCTCCATCTGCTTTATTTGCTGCTGGGGGTGCAGGAACCCAACAAGCTCAGAACAGAGAACAGTCAATTAAAAATTAGATCCGACGTCTAATAAGTAACACACTCAGCCTGCTCTAGAGACTGCACTTTGTGTGACCTCCCCAGCTTTACATCAACTCTGTGTAGTCTTTTGTCAAATTTTCAAGGTTTCTTTCGCATTATGGCTGTACTTTGGGCTCCCTCTGCCGGCTCTGCGACCGTCTCCGCTTGGCCTCGCTCTGCCCAGGAGGAATATTTAAAATTACTGGGCTGGAAACTGGGGAGCCGGAGTTCCCCAGGAGACCTTTCCTTCCACACCACCCTGGTGCCCCGTGCTGTGTCTGTGCAGGGGGTTTGGCTGCTGAGGTACAGTGAAGTCTGATCCTTCCCCAGAGCATGATCAGGATGGGAAGTGCTATTAATTATTAAGGCTTTCTGCGGCGATACCTGATTGCAAGCCCGTGCGTGCTTTGCGTGGCAGAGCAAAATGCTGACTCATGGGGAAACGCAGCCATTTTTCAGGGTTGATGTAGATAAATGCGAGTAATTTCCGCCGGTGGGAAAGTCAATGGTCCTGAAATGACCAAGACTGTACAGAAAACGCAGGTGTGACTCCAGATTTATCCCACCATTAACGCCTGCAGAGCACGGTTCAGGGCACCCTGCGTGCTGATCCGGCAAGTTGACCTTCCACGAACGGGTCTGTCCCCGGCAGCCCGATGAAGCAGCTGGTGGAAGTTTGTGGCTGGAGAAACCGAGCCCAGCACATCCTTTTCCCCTCTAACCCTGACATCTCTCCCACAAAAACCACCGGCTCGTGTCTGGCAAGCTGTTGGGTGAAGAGCAAACGGTGTGTGGGAGCTGACGCCGTGCAAGTCTCCTTACTCATCGGGGTGCTGCCAGCCCCACCGTGCCGGGGAATCAGCCGCTTCCCGAAAGCCGGGGTTTGCTTTCTGTCCTGGTGCAAGGGTTGGCTCCAAGGACGCGCCGGGCTTGCTCAGGGATGCTCGGCTGCAGAGTCATCGCTCTGGAAAGAGAAGAGTAGGAGCTGCACAGCGTGTTGGGCGTGCAAGGGAGCCAAACCGTTCCAATAATAATAAGAAAATCCGCTGTGTTTTTTTTTAACAGTCAGCATTAACCTAATTCAGGATTTTTTCTGTGGTTAACGTTGATACGAGACTCTCCCATGCCCCCGCAGCAGCGCTGGATTAGCTCAGTGAATCTCTTGTCTGCGCTTATATCTGCAGTGAAAAAACTGCTCTGTGCTGCCCTGGTTTGTTAGAAGGTGGCTGTTGCCTTTCCAGAATCTTGTACATGGGATTTAATGAAATAAGCTTCCCTCGGGTCACCGCCACCTCGACGAGGAGCCCGCTGAATTACAGGATGTTCCTGTTGATGGATGGGCTTTTGATAGAGGCTGCGTTTTTATAACTAGGGAGATTTTTCTTCCTCTGGTCACAATAGTACCAAAATGCAATTTAGAGGGCCATTAGGACACAGCCTCTGCTAAGACACAGCACGTCAATTTTCTGATTGAGGGGCTTCCCCAGGAAGGGGAGGTGGCTCACGTGAACCCCCAGTTCTCCTCTGTTTCTCCGGGAAGGTCAGTAATTGCTGCTGCCTCGTGCCTGTAGCAAATGTCCCTCCTGTGATGGGGATGGAGGAGCTGGAGCCACACTGGTGGGATGGAGCCATCTGCCCCCAGATGGAGCGGGCTGGTGGCACTTCTTTACCCCTGGCCGCCAGCTCTGGGGTGTAGGAAGAGGCTGCACACAAAAAAAGAGCAAAGGCATAAACTGGAGGGACCCCTCGTGGGAGTGGGGGATTTGAAGCATCAGGATCCCGTCTCACTGGCACAGACGGAAACCGAAGCCCCTTTGCTTGAGGACCATTTAATATTGATAGTATGTGTTTACCTGCACTGACCCTTTTAAAGTGATGAGCTGTGGGCATCTCTGCTGGGGCTACCTACTTTTTCACATTCTGTGCGTGTGTGCATGTGGAGGGGGGGACGACCATCGGAAGGTCATAAGAGGCCATGATCGTGTTTTGGCCGGAGGGCATCCAAAAATCACCTGTGAGCTCTGATAATTGAGAGCGCTCCATGCAGATTCTTGCCCCAAATGTTCCGCTCCAGTTCCTGCTGCTGACCCGGTTACTTGTGCTCCTGTCCCTTCCCCAGGCACCTGCCTCCACTGCCAGGAAAACACCGAGGGAGACCACTGCCAGCTCTGCAAGGAGGGCTTCTACAGGAGCACCCATCCTGCCCACGCCTGCCATCACTGCCCGTGCTCCACCGTGGCATCGACCGGCACCTGCCGAATACGTAAGGCTTTCATTTTTGGTCTCATTCCTCCGATAATGAACGTAGCTCTTTTCAATTAAATTGCCACTCGGAGCGCATCAGCCTCGCGAGGCGGTTTATAGCCCATGACTCTCCTGTGTGTGGGAACCGGGGCACCTCGCTGGAAGCAGCGCCTGCCACGATGCGTCCCTGGTGCTTGTGTTGGCTCTGGTGAGGGCATCAGAAACGCTTCGCTACAGGCTGCAGCCTGCTCTGAAGAACCTGCAGAGTCGTGCAGGGAGAAACTGCTGGGTTTGTGGCAGCCCGGAGAGGTATAGGAGATGGCCAGCAGTGCCACGTAGCCATCCATACCTCTGTGAGCCCTCTCCTGAACATCTCCATGGCGCTCCAAACAGATTCCCCAATCTTCCTGAGCTATTTTGATGTAACCGGGAGAAGAAGTCATAGCTGTAATAAACATATACAAGACTTTTTTTGATATTTCCTTCATCAGTTTTGCAATGAAGCCACCTCTGGCTTCACACAGGCCGAAAAGTTCCTACAGATTGCTAACATCCCTGATACAGTTCCAGCTGTTTTCTGAAATTGGCTGTTTGAGATGGAAATGTTGAGGAGTAATAATCTGTTTGTTTAGCAACGTGCTGAGCATGCTCTATGATGCTGGTACGAGGCATCAGAAACCCCCCAAAGCTTTTTTCCCCCTTAGAAACAGAAAATGCTGCAGTTCAAAAGTTATATTTTCAGCTTAAAATTTGGGATTGGTTAATACTTCATTGGCTGCTGATTTTTGTCACGGTGGCCTGTGGGTCAGGTCCCACAGAACAAATCCCACAGCGGGTGGTTCTCCGCAGGGGGTTATGGCACACACCGGGTTTGCTTTCTGTTTTCTTCAGATCCTGGTGAAACTGCCCCAAGATGTGACAAATGCCGAACCGGGTACACCGGCCCGAACTGCAACCGGTGTGACAACGGCTACTACAACTCCGACAGCATCTGCGTAAGATGTAAATGCAACGGGAACGTGGACCCAGCGCGGTCGCCCAGCGTGTGCGACCCGGACAGCGGGGAGTGCGTGGGCTGCCTGTACCACACCGCTGGCTTTCATTGCGAGGAGTGCGAGGACGGCTACGTCCGAGACCCCGAGGGGACCAACTGCACCAAGAAAGGTAAAAAGTTGCTCCTCAAATCAGCGTGGAAGCTTTCTGTGTGGCTCAGGTGGGCACAAGCTGCCTGAAGGCTGGGCAGGGGATACTCTTAATAGTTCAAATTGGTTTAGAGTCATCTGGTCTGTGGTACAGGGAAGAAACCAGACCGTTATAACACATTGGTGTCTACTGGGCTTGAAATCTGTGGTTTAGAGTTAGCTGTGTGGCCACCCTGATTCCCAGAGTGTGGCCGGCACCTCTCGTGAACAAGCTGGAAAGCAAAACCTATTTGCAGTGTATTTAAATGTAGGTTTTCAGATTTCCATCGCTTGATGTACTTGATCTCTTGGTGCCCAGGGAATTGTCCTTATTGACTAGTCCATTCATAGCTCCGTCTAGTTCCCTAGAAAGGGTGTTTATAATAAATTTTGTCACTCCTCATACTCTGCAAACAATAACTACTTGGACCAGATTTAGATTTTTATTTTTTTTTTTTTCTTCCTAAATGGGGAAGCCAAAGCTCAGAGAAGTGAGATTCAAACTTGCACAGCGAGTCAACGCCAGAATTTTCTGGTACCCACTCTGGGGATCTCTCACCAGTCTTCAATCCAAATCCGAGACACTGCATGTAGCATCTCAGACGCAAACTAGCTCTGGTACTTAGAGAGACTACTGCATGGCAGTAGTAAAATTTTTCTCATTTTTAATAGTAAAATGAGAAAAAATGGTTCTTCAGTTGTTCCTTCAGTGGTTATCGGGAGGTTGGTCCACAAGGTGGATCTCCAGCTCCATGCATGAAAACATTACTGATCTTGTGTATTAGATAAGAGAAGCCAGAGTTCAGAAAAGTCTCTGGGCCCAAATTCATCCTTGTCACCAACAGAGATTTAATTCAGATCTTCCATTAGGAGCTAATGTGGTTTTCACTCCCATGCTGCTCTCCGGAGGTGTAATCACGGAGTCCTTCTCTGCGCGGGGAGATGATCAATACAAAAAAGTTGAATGCTCATTAGCTGTAACCGTACTGTTACAGGGCTGGAAATGGCAGTTTTGCATCGGGTCATCCATTATCTCCCCCTGCACAGCTCTGTCTTTGTGCAAAGAGCTACATGACCTTGCTCCATTAAAATCCATATGTATGGCTTTGCTTGTATATTTGCACTTTTCCCTGCAAGTTTTAATTTCATGACATTGTTATAGGCAATTCTAATTTCATGGCATTGTTATAGGCAATTTCTTGTGTGGGGAAAGACTGTCCCTTTTCAAAAGGACCAGAATGTGCTTTTGTAGCTTTTCTGTTTCCTTGACACCTGCTTTTTCTCTTTCTTATTCAGCAATTAAAAAGGCGTACAGTTTCTTTCCGTTTTCTTACACACAATTTGCCTAAAAATTGACATGGTGGAGTACTGTTTTAGGTTAAGATTTTCATAAACCGCTACTGCATTTGAGTGGCCTGGCTTTGAGTGGCTTCTCAAGGGATGCCATCACCCAGGTTCTATTTATAAAGTGGTCGCAGTTGAAATAAGACAGCAAGTTTTGTCCAGCCTGGGCAAAGCTAAACCCAACCTCGAGTATCCACAGGGGCTGGGCAGAGTCTTAAACCCAACCAAGACTACGATGCTTTCAAGGCTGATGGAGAAGATATTCAGAGGATGAGTGGGAAGACCAAAGTTGATGTTTCCGACCCCTGGGCGGATGGTGTTCCTGCTGCGACGGTGAGGCATAGCAGCAAGGGCTTAGTGCTGCAGCGTGGCACCGTGCCACCCAGCCGAGCATCGCAGCCGTCCCCGAGAGCGGGCGCGTGGGCTGCTGGCACGGCCCCGGCTCCTGCCAGCGCTCATTCATCGCAGGAGGCGGCAGAAGCTTTGCGGAGACTGCATTTCAATCAAGCAGCTGGATATGACGCTCATGTCAGAGCTGCCAAAGCGGCCCATTGACTGAACAGCTGCCGCTCTCAAGGAGCTGCTTTAGGACATCTGGAAGGCTGGCACGGCCCTGGCGAGCGGAAACAGGCAGCGCTGTATGTGTCAGGGCCCAAAAGCGACAGTCCGCAGTCAGAGCACGACACTGTTTCACCATGACGTTACCGTCAGTTCCAGGAAATGTTTTCACCCATGTCCCCCTTGCCAGCACTTAGCTGATGCTGACTCACAAATAAAGCCCAGAAAAGTCCGGTTTCCTTGCTGGTGAATCAGCCTTTGTCTCTGCTCTGTTTTTTTCTAATTATAGCTCCTGGCAGGGTTTGCCAAGAGTTGAGTGTTGATGAAGGAATTTGGAAAGGATGACTGAATTCCTCATGCTCTTCTCCCAAAGCTGTATCCAGGAACCTCTTGCTCCTGTCACGTCGCTTCCTACTGCAAAATTCTGCCTGTTATCCCATAGAGAAATGCCTTCTGGCATTCAGCATCCTGAATATCCTTATCAACTTAAGGCAGGACCTGCAGAGAATAAAGGACCTGCTGCAGGGAGGGACTCTGAGCAAGAGCCTAAATTAGATGTGTGGTGCCCCCTCCAGAGGAGTTTCTTTCTCCACTGCCTGAACTGGGAACGTGACAGCCCAAAGTTAACTCGTGGGAGTTCCCCCGAGGGCCCGTGGCAGGAGACGTGCAGAATATTTCCAGCTCCTGTTGCCATTGGAGATGCGACTTAGTGCAAAATTAGTCCTTCGGAAGTGACTCTCCTCCTCAGTCATAATTAGTAGATGTTCTCTTCAGGAGAGCTGGATCAATACCACACGGCACCATCAGCTGTAATTGCTGCAGCTGTAAATGGGTTTAAAATGAAGTTGTATTTCTGATAGCAGCAAGAGAAATGGAAGAGAGTGGGAAAGAGGGTGCAGGGAGTCCTGTGGAGCAAGAAGTGCAGAGAACATTTTGGTTGGTTGAGGCTTCAGCTTCTGGAGGGTTCCTGCTGCCTGGACTTGAGAATCTAGAATAGATCAGGTTATTTCTGTGAAGAAAATGCTTTCTTAGTTACATTTGGGAGCCTAAATACTCAGGTGGTTACAGCGCTTTCTGAGGCCTATAGCTCAACTGGTGTGAAGAAGGCGTAATGAATGTGCATCCCACTTTTGAGATCTCCAGCATTAACTTGCCGCTGACTCCCAGATCTGAGAAGGGAGTTATCCCATGTCTGCTGGAAGCAAGGCAGGTTCGTGCCTATTCAGTGCCTGGGAACAGGCTGCAGAGGAAGACGGACCTTGTGGCACAGTCTGGTAACTCCCATGTTCTCATCCTTCATGTGCGGACATACGCCAGCAGCTGAAACCAAACCAGGATCCAAACCGGCATCTGCTGTGTTCAAAAGCTTCATAAGAACATGCACAGTCTTTTTTTTTTTGTTGTTGTGCTTTGGTTACCTTCTGCTTCTGGTTATGCAGACTGGGGGTTTCTGTGAGATTTGTGTATGACTTCTTCATTCAAAAGCAGAACTGGGGTTATTTTGCCCTTTTGCTTAAAGCAGTGTAAATATTGAAACCTGTTGCTAAACACTGTGACGGCAGAATACTCATGGTTCGTTTTTTCATTTTGTATCTTCTTGTGCAGGTAAGGCAGAAATAATAATATTGTGAACGTAAACCTTCATCTAGTGTACTGGCTGGGAAAGGTTTAAGCTCCTGGAGTCGCTGTGGCCTCCCAGCCTGACTGTGCAGCCCACGTGGATGAGTGAAACTCTGCCTTCATTAGGCTCAAAGTCCAGCCGCTTCCTGAGCTTGGTAGAGCCCCGGTTTCATGGGCTGAATATGAGCTGGACTGGGCGCCTTGCTTTCCTCATGAGCTCATGAATCTTGGCTACTGCACCTATCTATCCGTCACCAAACTTTTCATAGGAATTCTGCAGTCAGTGAGCGCTTAGCACACAGAATTATTGAAAAAACCCAACCCAATCCTGCCTAAGCATTTTTGTAAACTATTTTGAAAAAATACCAGCTTTAACAGCGCAGACTTAATTGCCATAATAACTGTGATATAAATGTCAAACCTCTTATGTTTGTGTTTGATTCCAGCTTAACGTGTTTTTATTGATCGTTTTTTATTTGCTTTGTAGAAGCCACTCTTGGCCCAGAAACAAGGGAGTTTACAACTTCTGCTCCAAATGCCAGCAAGGCAACATCATTTTCAACGGCAGTGATAAACAGTACGTTGTCACCGACAACTATACAGACTATATTTCCTATAAGTTCCTCTGACAATAGTACCTCTGCTTTCGCAGATGTCTCATGGACTCAGTTTAACATAATTATTTTGACAGTTATCATCATTGTTGTGGTCCTACTAATGGGCTTTGTGGGTGCTGTCTACATGTACCGTGAGTATCAAAACAGAAAACTTAACGCTCCTTTTTGGACCATTGAACTCAAAGAGGACAACATCAGTTTTAGCAGCTACCACGACAGCATACCCAACGCCGATGTTTCGGGGCTGCTGGAAGACGACGGGAATGAGGTTGCACCGAATGGACAGCTAACGCTGACGACTCCCATGCATAATTATAAAGCTTAGAAGAAGGGCTCCAGCTATTCCAAAGTTGGCTTTAAAAAGTTACAGGGCTTGTTGAGGGGGTCTCAGGACCCGTGCCAAGGCTCCACGCAGAGGAATTTGCTCTTCAGATACTCTTACGCTGGGCATGCTGTAGCTTGCAGGTGAACAGAAAAAAGTGTAGTACATCCGAATTTCAGGTAATATGGTGAAATGCATTCGGTGTCCTGTTCTCCATAAAGATCCATAGAATTCACTGTTGTTAAAGACTTGACTATGCTGTCTCAAAGTATTTTTTTTTTTTTATGAAGAGGCGGTGGGGTGGAGAAAGCTGTACCCTGTGATTAATCAGAAGCTACTTGATTTTCAGCCAACTTACATCCGCATCCTTTAGTTTGAAAAGTAGCTCATGAATTAACAGTGGATTTTCAGGAAATAGACCTTTGTAAAGGCTTCATATTAGTTCCTGATATAAAGTTTGAAAAGGAGGACAAAAAAAAAAGGGAAATAATTGTTCACTGTACTGCTAAAAGGCAAGTAGAGGAGTGAGTGACACACTTGAAAAAAGTCACCGTTATCAGTTTCCGCTAAGTAGGGAGACAGGAAAAAAAATCATGAAAATATTTGATTTAGGGAAGAGACTAAGCTTTTCCCTTTCTGAGTATTCATACAGGGTGATGATGCTATTAAAACATAGCAATCCTTTTTTTTTTTCTAGAAGGAGTTAATGAACTTGTATAGTTTCTGTGCAAGGGAAGACGACAAGACATCTCAGGGTTGCCGTGTAAAAATAAAAGCTAGGCTTAATACCCTACCCTGATAGAAATGGTGTGTTCTGTATATAAAATGTAATATATCTTCTTGGAATTGTATTTGTAATTATTTGTAAAAAGACAACCAACCAACCAACCAAAAAAACCCCAACAACAAAACCACGACCCCCTCCCCAACCTCCCCTATTCCCCAACTCATATTTTATCATCTAGATTTTAATTGTACAGCGGTTAGTGGCGTTGTTTAAAAAGAAAAAAAAATGAGGATTGTTTAAAATACTGTAAATTAGATGGCAATATTGTTGGAGCTGGGACTCTGGCAAACACCGACTGCTTAAAGCTTTTCTTCTGGTGTCATTGAATAACTTTCTTTTTTTAGAGAAAATGTGAGTGCTCCCTACTTGCATCTGTCAAATTTTCCCATTCCTTTAAATATAGAGTGAATACCAGTGTCGCCATGACTAGGGCCTAGTCGGTGTCCAAAAGTCGGATGTACCGTTCTGTTACTTGCTTTTAAATCTTATACAAAATGCAAATACATTGTCATGAATGCATTGAGAGCCTGATCTCGATGGCCGAGCTTTTCTGAAGGGGCTGCTCATCACGTGAGTGGATCTCATTGCCATCTCTCCCGTGGTGACACGGTGACGGGGGGACTTGCCGGAGGGCTGAGCGCAGCCTCCCGGCCTCTTGAAGGGCAGAAAGAAAAAATCTCCTGGATTTGGGTGGAAACGGCTTTCAGCCGAAGAGCTCGCAGGAGCCGATCTGAGTTTCTAGGCTTAAAAGCTAAAAGTGCAGGGATGCGTTCAGGAAGTGTATGTAGCACAAGGTGGTGGTGGGGAATCAGCTGTTAAAAAAACCTACAGGGGACTTTAGGTTTTACAGATTCCCCTGATTTTTGGGGGAGGCGGGTGGACTGTTAGCAGAGGGAGAACAACTAACGGGCAGCACAGCACAGGGAGGTCGCACTGCGGAGCTCCTCGCTGGGACCCGCAGCGTGCACGCGTGCCTCGCCGCAGGCAGCGTGCCCTCCCTGTGCTGGGGAGCAGCCAGGCCCGACCCGGGAAAATCAATACCATTACATTTAAGCAGGGCGTGAAAGAAATATTTCACCTAACTCATGACCAACCTCAGAACTAAAGCTGCGTTGCTGTGTGTGTTGGTGCTTTGCAAGTGGTGGATGCTGAGGATAAATGAAGTACCTGCTAAAGGTCAGCAGGAGCTGACTGATACATCCTCAGAGCCAGGCAAAAATAAATATTTCTCAAGGTGAGAAATGGTAGGAAGAATGTGGTGATTATTTATTTGCTTTCCGGTGCTGCATGGAGGCTTTTCTTATCATTGGAGACTTTGGGGTGGGGAATAGGTGCTTTCAACACATGCACAGAGATGCCATTTCTGCCTCAAAAACTTGCTGCCTGATTTAAAGATGAGGCATGGCAAGTGAGAAGGAAAATAGTCGAGGATGACCAAGGGAAACGGTGAGGGCAGAATGTGATGCTGCATGCAGGCCTGAGCCGATGGCAAAGCTCCCGTTGCCTGCCTGGGTGAGATCCCAGAGTTTAGGTAATAAATTTGGCTGATGTCATTCAGAGCAATGTTACTTTTAGTTCTAAAACGGGGGAGGAGTGGAGGAGAAAATCTGGATATTGCTAATCCTCGAGTTACTCATCAAACTTTTAAAGAGCAGAATGGTGACAAAATAGAAAATTTCCTAAAAATTGTAATTATTTAGCAGTGCTGATTTAGCGATATACTTGCACTTGGTCACTTCATAGGGTGGGGAAAGGTAATTTTGGAAGTGTTAGCTTCTTGCGCTAATGCTAGCAGGCAAAGTGAAGGACAGATTGTTCACTTTAATGTTTCCAAAATATTTTACATCTTTTCGTCTTTGCCACAAAACACCTCTTCCTCAAATTCTGGTATGACTGTAGGCTACTTTGTAAGAGGAATAGGCTTTGATTTTTCTCCCACTGTAGAAATATTGACCATCTGCCAAACCAGAGCGTGAGTTCAGATGCAGAGCCCTCCTAGTCTGTGCCTACCACAGCACAGGAGGCGTTTGCACCTGGGCTGCTTCTGACCTCCAAGTTACTCTCAACACTTTGTGTTTGAGCCCCGGGTTTGAAAAGAGGAGGAGGTCAGGATGCCTCACAGTCATTCTGCACGGGAGGGCGGTACAGCCACGCTGTTGTCTGTGGGTCGCACATCTGGATGAAGGGATCTGGATGGCCCCCACAGATGTGGTGGGAAGCTTGGCTGGGCAGGGGGGACCTGGCTGCCCAGGTTTGGACAGCAGAGGAAAGCACAGGATGTTCTTTAGCAGGGACTGGAGCACAGCAGGGATGTGGCACTGAGACAATGCTTGTCAGGTGGCAAAATGACTTGGCAGGAAAATACCAGCCATCTCCAGCCAACCAGGCCTTTGGCATAGAGGAACAGCATGTGTAAAAGGAGATGGATGCCTCAGCAAAGAAAGGATGAACAGCTTCATGTTCGACTTCGGTGATGCGAGATTAGATCCTCGCTCTCTCCATCAATCATGAAGCTGGCCCTGGGCACCACAGGAGGTGAGGAAGAAGCTGAGCTAGTTATATCTCCAATCAGCTTAGGCTGACATTGTATTTTGAGGGGGTGCAGAGCTAAGGCACCTGTGCGAGGGTACTAAAGGCCACTGTGACCACCAACCTGCCATGTGTTCTAACTTGTCATGAAGCTTCCCAGATGTTGAGGTTTGCCGTACGCCATGTTGGGGTATGGGCAGGTAAACCAGAAATGAACTTACAGGGCAGCACTGAGGCCCAACTCAGAAGCTAGCAAGACAAGGGGAAGGCATCTAGGTGGCTTCTAGGGCTGATGTGGCAATAAAGATACACATAGCTTTCCTGAAGGGCCACCACGCATCACCTTCTAACTGGGCATGCTGCTGTCTGGCTTTCATGGAGAAAGGCAGTCCATGGCACAGCACGGTACAGTAGCTGTAGAGCATGGAGAAGGTACGACAAGGCAGGTGAGGGCTTGGTGAAGGTGGGAAACCAGCTCTCAAGGCACGATCCTCAGGGTCGTGAGGGCCCTGTGGACCCAGCTGGTCTGGATGGGGTGAGTTCAGTTCCACAGAAGGCAAGAGGATATAATGGAATGGATAAAGGGCAAGAAGCAATGATGTGTCAAAGGCATGGGGCAGCCTGGATGGCTCACAACTTAGGAGAGCATTTGGTAAGCACAGAGTGCAACAGACATGCAAAAAAAGTGATTGGGTTAATGTGGATAGATGATCTCGAATGTTATGAACCACTGTAGCTAGAAATAACTGCATGGAGCGCTAGCCCTGGGGAGCTGTCAGGAGATGTCATCCATTGGAATGATAATTCCCTTGGACCAGGCTGAGCAAACTTAGCACGCTGGAAGCCATTTATGAAAGAGGAGTGGATGTATTCAGCATCCTTCGGGTATCCTGGGCCAGTTAACCACGACTATACAGCATCTATCTCAAATGTGACATGCAATGTAAACGTGGCAGAAAGTTTGCACAGTCTCCTTTAAATAAAGGATGTAAGATTGAATCCTAAAAATACGTTTCTCTTTAAAGTGAGGTTTTAAAATGAGCTCCCACAGGACTCTGCTCTTCATGTGTCAGAGGAATGGATTAAAATAAGAAAAATGTGGGCCTTAAAAGTTGTACTTGCTCCCAACTGAAACCCATCAGTCTTACTACACATCCAAATAAGGCGTCTCCTAAGCATATGCTATGCTTACAAATGCATTTCTAAAAAAAAAAAAAAGTGTATGATTTGAATATATGTCAGAATTTATACAGAAGAATGTTATTTAAAATGAATAAAAATAAATGTATATAATTTGTATCTATGCCACTTGGATTTTTGCATTTGTTCTCTGTTCATTAATTGATGACAACCAGAGCTGGATTGAAACCTAAAGGATTGAATCTGATCTCATCCCAGCAATGACATTTGTTCCAAGAGAATTATTCCTTCATTATACCCCTGTATGTGAGATGAGAACCGTGGCACAAAAATGTTTTTTAACATCAGATATTCATAAGTACAGTTGACATTCTGTGTCAGATAATCCATCTATAAAATGAGCCCTATGATCTCTTGTGTCTGTTTATTAACCATTCCAGCTTTAAGCTACTTTCATTAACATGTTTGGTAGCTAGACAGGCAATGCCTATTTCCCCATTATTGTCTATAATATTCACATAGACTTATTTTGTCAGAGATGTATGCAGTTATTAAAAATGAAACGTACAGAGCAAAGCTAGAAATTGGAAGAGGATATTGTATCAGGTTCTTTTTCATCACCACAATGGGTCTTTCAAAGGAAATTTATGTT